GACGTTCAGGCGAAGCCAGTCAAGGTATTTCAAAACCTACGCACTGAATTCAAGACATGATTGGACAACAAGTGTTCCAAGACGCAAGATACATCAAGGGCGTCAAACGTCACGTCTTCGAGATACGCACATAAGTGGAATTTCGTCAAGAACGAAAAGGGCGAGATGGAACGGACCATTAGATTTCGCTTGGTACTTCGGGTTTTCATGGACCTCGAAGCCTTCGGTCTGGAAGCTGTCTCAGGGGTGGCGCGCCGGCCGAGTCAGCGACTACTCGCAAGCGCGGCAGGGAACAAGATGCAATGGGTCATTGCCTCCCTTGGCATCAACATGGCTTTCTTGAAGGGACTGACTTATCAGGAGCTGGTTGAAGCAATTGGTTAAAAAGGAGCGCGTGGCTTGCTTTATACTGTCGCCTGGATCAGCGTCGGCGTTTCGATCCCTCCCAGGATTCGAGCGCTACGATGGGTCGAAGCATTGCTTGCAGTGCCCCAAGCCAGGTACCGGCACCAAGGATGCACCCAGAGCCTTTTCACTGAAGCTCAGAAAGACCACGAGAGGGGTTGTTTTCAGACCCGCGCCCCACGACCAGGCGTCGAGAAAAGGAGCGGCCTTCTCACAGCCAAGCGCGCTGATGATATCAATGTGGCCGGTACTGAGGGCAACATCGACAGGTGCGTCAAGCGCTTTGAGGATACTTTTGGCAAGTTGTAACGCAACGAACATACATGCACCACTTGTGCTGTGAGATATACAAAAGATGGGGGTGGTAACGTTGCACTTGATGAGGACGAACACCTAAAACAGCTCCGTCCTATACGCATCCAGAACTCACTAGCGCAGATGCTGACGCCAAGGCATCCCAGATGGTCGCTGACATGTTTGTCATTCTCAGAGGCGCTTTGGTTTACGCATTAATCACACAGGCGTGGTTGATGGTATATGTTGTTCCCTTTACAACGTGCCCAAGAACCGGCCAACATACAGGTTTGACGACTGAGCGCGATTACCAGGCAGTTGCAGGCCTGCCCAAGGAAGATCATCTATCGACCGATGGCTCCAACGGGCGAGGTCGACCTGCACAGTGGCTCTGGCTATCGACGCCTGAGTGGAGATGCGGATGACGAGGTCAAAGTCTACGGCACTCGCGGGGCAAACCTGCTACGGCGTGGAAACGCGCCTGCTGGAGCGCCTGCCGTCCATCTTATCGATGCGCACTGCAAGTCTCACCGCTTGCAAGTCCGCTCGAGCTACTCAGCAGAAACACGATCAGCCGCCCACAACTTGGAGGACTGCTATCCCACGATCTTCACCCTGCACCAGCTCCACGCAGGGCCGCTGACACCCGCTCCGCTGAACGATATTTTGGAGATGGGCGGCCTGAACATTAAGGTCACTTTGACCATCGATGCGGAATCTGTCTTCAAGTCCTTGTCAAGCAAAGACCTGAAGAAACCGACCGAGTGCACTCTTTTGGGACATCAGTTTGATGCGACAGATGATGGAGCGAGGTGTCGTGCATAGTACACAGTGGCATGACACTAGGGACATTGACTGAGGACGGTCACACCAAAGGGAATATCGACATATATATATGCTCGCACAGGTCATGGGAGGAACGCGACCCTTCAACACGTGTTAACACGTCATACTCCGTACCGGGTTAGCCAAGCAACATCATCTGAAGCCGCCTGGGAAATACTCGCCTGCAGGGCGACTTGCCCGCAAGGCAACTTGTTTGCAAAGGCATGTGCGCGCGGGTCAACCTTCCATTTGAAACCACCTGTAGCTGCTTTCTTTGTGTGTATATTGTGTTTACTGTATAGCGGGCGGCGGGCTCGCGCTTCTCTTCCCCCCCCCGACTCTAGAGGGAGCTGGGGCAAGAGCGAGAGATAGCGAACGTTTGTCTGCGACCGTTTGTGTTCAACCGGCTGGCCGCAAAAACATGATTGCGCTTCATCGCGAGGCGCACCATTTGCCATTAAGACCGGCAACATATTCGATTTACATGGCCCGTCGTTCCCGGGACGATCTCTTGCTTCTGGGCCGATCGCTACTACGGTACAACAGAGTTGGATCTGGGCTTCGCCTGGAGCAAAGCTGCTGGTTGGGCCTCCCAACCTCTTTCAAACTAGCGGTTTTGTGGGAACGCGTGGTTCGCGCTTCTCTACAATTCGCTGTGCCGTTTTCGTCCGATACACTTGCATATCGGAAATGCAGGAATGTGCGAATCTCGATTACCTATTACAAATGGTTCCCAACATCACCGTTCAGCAACATCGCCGTTCTTGTGGCCTTGGAATTTATCGCCCCCCCCTGAAATTGCGTTCCACCCGAGCGGCCCACGTCTGCCCGCAGTCGGCCGGGCATCGCGTCGCCCGCACGTTTTATAGGCTGCGGATGTTCTCGCCGCGACCGATGCCGCGCCGCAGCCGCGAGGGCACGGCCGACGTTGACCGATGCCGTCGGCGTAGGGCAGAGCGCGGCCTTCTTGCCAGAGGAACGCCACGCCCAACTCCCAAAAGGTCCCCCCCCGGGCCGCCGGGGGCGCGAAGGTCGTCGCGCCTCGTGCGCCGCGGCTGGAGACAGGGAGGTGCTGCTCGCCATGGCGGCCGCGCGAAGCGGCGCGAATATCCGGGGAACTCACAATGACATAAACATAAAAGCTTTGAGATCCGCGCGGATTGCTCGCATCGGCGCTAAACCCTCCTGGCGGCGCTTCCAGCGCCGCCCCTGGCGCGCTTTGCGCGCCAGGGAGGGGGGGTACAACGCCGATCCGAGAAGTCCGCGCGGACCTCTGAGTCTTTATGTTTATGTCATTGCTCGTCCTCCTAACCATTCTCCTCCTCCTCCTCCTCCTCCTCCTCCTCCTCCTCCTCCACCTCTTCCTCCTAAGATGCCCGCGCACCGCGGGTCGGGATCCACGAAGTTGGGTCCCAGCAAGCGGGCGGAGCCGACTGAGCGACGCAAGGAGACGGGGTCGTCTGCGCCGGCCTTGGCGCGCAAGCTGCCCGCGCACGCTCGCGCGCAAGCGCCCTCGTCTCCAGCGTGGCGTGCCGCGGTGGCGGCCCGCGCAAGCCACCGCGTAAGGTCGCCATGCCATCTCGCGTAAGATCCGTTCTTTATCGTCGCTTAATTGCTTACTTGTTGGTGGCGGGCGCAATTCCCCCCCAGCTCCGTGCCCCTCCCCGCCGTTGGTTGTTGCGCCCTCTGCGGCGGCGAGCGGGAACGCTGGCGCTGCTGCTGCGCGGGGGGCTCCTCGCGGCAGCGGCCGGTGGGCCACGAAGGTTGCCCAGGAGGCCCCCGACATGGCCCCAGAAGCCCTTCGCACCTCTTTGGGCGAGCACGGCCGCACGGCCGGTGTCAACGACGACGCGCAGAAGCCCCAGAGCGGCGACGGCTCCCGCTGGGCTGCGCTCGGCCCGACGAGCAGCCGCGCCGCGCCCCTGGACGAAGCGTTCGGTATCCAGCCAACCGCTGCCAGTCGAGTAGGGGATCGGCTACAGAATCGATGTACCCCGAATTTGATATTCTCGTTAAATCCAGGAATGAAGCGTGAAATGCTTGTTCGACGAACATTATACGAACATTGTTTCGCTGGTTTGGTCGAGCAAATTAATGTGTGGGTAAATCAAGTTTGGGAATCAGCTGCAGAATGGATTTACCCCAAAGTTGACTGTCCATCGAATCTACCAGAAATCGTGGAAATGCTTCGTGGATCTACAGGACAGCAGACCCCGTCTGTTCGAGCTGCAAAGCACAAGTCATTTCTGGAGTAAGCCAATTCTGGAGTCGATCCCCTGCTCGAGCTGTCAGGGCGCCGTGGCCGCGGAATAGCACCACGCAGCGGGTGCAGAATCAGCGCCAGCCGAACCGGCAAGCACCACGCCCGAGGGGATCAGCAGCAGCAGGCCGAGCGGCGACAGAGCCAGCATGGATGGCCTGCTCCTCCCCGTCCTCCTCCCCATCATCCTGCTCCTCCTCCTTCTCCTCCTCCTCCTCCTCCTCCTCCTCCTCCTCCTCCCCCTCCCCCTCCCCCTCCTCCTCCTTCTCCTCCTCCCTTTTCCTCCTCCTCCTCCTCCTCCTCCTCCTCCTCCTCCTCCTCCTCCTCCTCCCCCAGAGTGGCTCCAAGACAGCCGTGTGCTGACGCCGTCTTTGTCTGCTTTGCCGGAGCCACCCAGAATTCCTCCAGCACCAGCCCAGACAGTCACTTCAACGTGCGCACCCAGGAAGCGGCCTGCACCCAGGCTTCGCATCGCCAACGGTTCAGAAGATTGTTTGCGTGATATTGATTTGGCATCGTGCCGTTTCGTGTTGTTGCCATGCGTCGCTCCGCTGTCAGCCTGTTTTCCCTTCCGCACTCCTTGGAATCTAAATGTCCACTTGTCCCTCCTCTTTGGCTGTCGTGAGTTTGTGAGTCCCGCGCGCGAGACCGCCTGTACGGTCCTTGCCGTTCATGCGATATGTTTCGAAGCAAGTTGCATGGCGCGAAGAGTTGTGTGTAGAGGTGAACGCATGCGATTCAATGTTTGCATGTACGACGTTTACATTGGAAGACACGTTGGACACCCGTCCGCATTCACCCAGGAACAACATTTGTTTTCAAATTCAAGGGGCGGGTCGATCCCCATTTTAAACCAGAACATTACCTTAAGGTCTTTCGATCAGTGATACGTGTAGAGTCTTTCTGGACCGATCGTCCGATCGCCTAGCTGCCGCCGAGCTGTCGAACGGCTGACCACATGGCAATTCGAATTGCTCGGTGTGTACGTGCACGGTGCGCGACATCGGATGGACCTTTGCGTTAGCTCGGGCGTGTCCTCTTACAGGCAGATGTTGGACGACAAATAAGAACCAGGTTCAAACATACTCCAGAATAGTGAAACATCATCCCCAGACAATGTTTCGACTATTTTCGAATATCCCTCCTGTAGAGGGACATGCCCGACTTAGCCTCTGCGAGGGGGGGGCGGGGCGCGGACTGCCGTGGGAGCCGCGAGGGCCAAGTGAAGTTCCCGGAGGGCTCGGACATATGGAACATGAGCCTGAATTGGACGAGCGTCACTGTGAGGCTCGGGCGGGTTGACCCAAAAGGGTGTCCAGCGGCACGGAGGAGGTGCAATAGATTTGGTGCAATAGATCTGTGGGGTTGCAACACGTCTGGGGGTTTGCAACACACTCCAGGGCGTAAATGTACTGTTGGACATTCGCGTGCAACACATGAATTGCCTGCAATACAATGCAATACAATTCTCCGGCGCAACACATTTGCAATACAATTGCCCCAAATCTACTGCACCACCCCCTTTCAGCTGGACCCCCTTTTGGGTCACCTAAAGAGGCGCAGGGGGGGCGAGAGGCTCGATCTCGGCAGCTGGGCTCGTTTCGATTCCTCCGATTCGATTCGATCCGATTTCGATGGCCTCCGCCTCCGATTCGACTTGATTTCGGATTCCGATTTGGGCTCCGACATGTTGTTGGAGGCATACTAGCCTGCCGATGTATGCCGATTCGACTTCTCCCGACTCGGCTGCCGACTTCCTCCGATCCGATTCATGTTGATTGCCGGTCCGGCTCATCGATTTGATTCTGGGCTCTCCTGGCAGGGGGGTGAGAGGCTCGATCTCGGCAGGCGGCCGAGGGAACGTAGAGGTTGGTTGAGCCCAGGGCAGGGTCAACAAGGGCGCCCTCGAGGGCGCGAAGCTGTCCGAGGTGCCCTGGCGGGGTGGCGCCCGCCGCCAGGGACCTGCAAGAAGTCTCCCTCCGATGGGCACCGCGCCCGCGCCAGAGTTTTTGGCCCGCTGCCCCTCTTGCCCATGCCCGGCCATCTTTTTTCGACGAGCGTCCTTCCCTCCCCTCTCTCCCCTCCTTTCCTTCTGTTCTCCCGCACCTTGCCTCCTCAGGCGAGCGCGCGCGCGCGCCAATCGGTGGGGGTCCCACGGCCGCGCGCCCGCCTCCTCCGCCTTCCGGTTCCTCTCCCCCGCTTTTCCCTGCTTTTCTCATCCAGGGCATTCCCCGTACACCTTAGGCGATGCTTAAGAAAACTCAAGTTTTCGGGCAGAGTCTCGATAATTCTTAACGTTTCAATGTAAATCTTAAGATTTTAATGGAAACGTTGGGTGTTTATTCAAGTTCTGAGACTGTGAATTTCTTAACCCATGATTTCTTAAGCATTTCGCAGGGTGTAATAGTCAGGCATCCTCACCCGCGCTCGGCGTTCCACCCCCCTTCCCCGTGGCTCCTGGCCGGGGCGGCGGGGCCGGACGGGTGGCGCACAGCGGAACAGTCATCCGTTGTCCGCGCTCCGCGGTTCTGTTCCGACTCCTTTTCGTCGTTCCTTTTCCTCTACAGACAACGCGCATAGTAAGGATCGGGCGAAGAGAACTATGCACATGCACCGATCCTGGCGAGGCCCATCCTTGACCCAGGATCGGTGCATATGCCTTCCTGGCCAAGGTAGGAGGGCGTATGCACCGATCCTGGGCTCAGGATGGGCCTGGCCAGAATCGGTGCATGTGCATAGTTCTTTTTCCTCTAAAGGACGCGCACCTTTTCTAGGGTACCCTTGTGTCCTTGCCTCTGCGGCCCGTCCTTTGCTGTTTCCCATGGCCAGCCTCTCAGGCCGCCGCCCAGCAAATCCCAACCTCGGCCTCCAAGGGTCTCGCGTCCTTACCACACGTCCTTACTATACGTTTTCACTGTAGGGGTCGGCGCGAGAGCGGCGCGAAGTTATTCGCGCTTCGCGCCTCACGCCGCGCGAAGCGCGAAGTGAGGCGCCCGTGGGTCAGTGAGCGAGCTCAGCTCGAGGCCGAGCTACTTCCCCAGTCCAGGGGCCGTCGGGAGCGATGCTCCTCCAGGGCACCGCCTGCCCTGCCCCACCGTTCCGTGTTCCACCCGTAGCCCCGAGGTGGGGGGACAGCAGGAGGAGGAGGTCCGAGGCGGGAATGTACCCATATCCACCGCCTGGAGTGTCAGTTTTCGGAGCCTCGGCAGGCGGTGGATGTGGACACACTCGGGCCCCCGGGGGCCGAAACATATCCATGTCCAGCGCCCGCTGGGGCACCAGGACGTCGGTTCCCAGGCGGTGGATATGGATAAATCGCCGCCTCGCAGGAGGAGCACGAGGATGAGTCCTAGGCGGTGGATATGGATAAATCGCCGCCTCGCAGGAGGAGGACGAGGATGAGGACGAGGACGAGGAGGAGGATAACTGGGGAATTCCCGTGTGTCGCCGCGCCGCTCGTGCCGACGCGCGGCCTTACGCCTCGGGGAGGGCGTCCCGGCCACAGCGGCAAAAACGCCGCCCTCGGCGCGGTGGGATTGCCATAGGCTTGCCGCGGTGCCGGCTGCGTCCACCTGGAGCGCGGAGCGCAGGGTTTGTCGGGCCGGGCGAAAGGGGGGGATTGGGAAAGGGGGGGTTACGAAATTTGCTGCATGCAGCTGATTTCGGCCTCACCGAGGGGCCCATTCCTCGATACATAGTCGCCTCCGGCGCCGGGAGGCGCCGGGAAAATCAGCTACGTGAGCTGATTCTCAAACCCCCCCTTTGCTATCCCCCCCTTTCGCCCGACCCGAGTTTGCCGTGGATTGTTGCGGTGTCGGCGTCGTCCACTTGAGCGCGGAGGAGGACGAGGAACAAAAAAAGGGGATGGCACAAATGCGTAGAAGGAGAGAGGGGTGAGTGTGAATGCTCTTCAACTTCGGCCCTCTCTTCCACTCTGGCCCCTGAGGCCTTTCTGGACTGCTCTGGTCTGATGAGTAAAGTGATGAAGAGGAGCTGCACGGATGCCCAGCATCAAAATAGTACATCGTAACGCTCGTCTCGTCGACTTGCCAATTTGCCGTTGCAGTCATAGATTCCTTCGCGTTTTCCGTGGCGCCTCTCCACGCGCGAGCCTAACATACACCCAACTTGTTCCCAGCGTACAGAGCGCCAGGTTGATGACCACCACCATCATTTATCGGGGGAGCGTAAGACCCGGGTTTGCCGGGACTCGGGTTCGCCATCGTTTTTTGACGACCGCGACTCGGATTTTGACGAGTAAGAGTTTCGTGGGATGTCTGCAGCGGGAGGCCTCGTCAAAATGCAGGCTCGGCCTCGTCATTTTTTTGACGACCTCGTCGGGGATTTCCGAGTCCCCCGTACCCGGGTCTTACGTCTCCCCGAATTTACTGAGTTCTCAGCATCGCACCTCCAAGTCTGAAGCGGCATTGGGGGGATGACGGCGGTAAACTCGTGGGTTTCTCGGTGGTGCGAATTAATTTCCGAGTCGTGCCCCCCCATTCCTTGCAAGTTGAGGTAGTTCGGATGGTTCGCGCCTATTCCACTAGAAAGTTGTATGTTAGCCAGCGTGGACCCCACACCGTCGGCGTTTGGACCCACAATGAATAAGAAACGAATTGCAAAGCTACGACATGTGGGCTGCGCATGATGCAAAATATGTGTTGCAAACTATATTGTGCAATCGATGTGGTGCAATCGATCAGGTGAAAGCTGCGTGATGCAGGCTTTGTGATGCAATATCTGTGTTCCAACAATGCACCATAAGCTGATACCATTATGCATAATTTACATGTATGTGGTGCAAGCTATGTGATGCCAGGTACGTGATGCAAAAATGCCAACATGTTTATCTCGGCGGTGAATGGGACTGTTGGGCGGTCTGGATAATGTTTGAGGGGTACCTGCTAAAGGGGAGGAGGCGGAGGAAGAGGAGGAGGAGGAGGAGGAAGAGGAGGAGGAGGAGATGGAGGAGGAAGGAATGGGAGGAGAGGAGGAGGAGAGGAGGAGAAGGAGGTATTCGTGGCGTGCACGCAACGTTGTTCTCCTGGCAGTGGAGTGTCCGTTGGGCAAGGGTCTGTCGCCGCTTCCTTTTTGTTCGCACCTGTCCCCACCAGGGAGGAGGGAATGAGGGAGGAGGGAGGAGGGAGGGGGGAGGAGGGAGGAGGGAGGAGGTCCTCGTACTGCTCTTCCGTTTGCCCTGGACTCTCCAGGGGGTTCCCGATCACAACGTCGGACGCTCGGCCTCTCGATCCTTGTGTTCTGCTTCTGCCGACGGGCAGCGTCGCTCCTCCTGGCTTCGGCTCCTCCTGGCATCGTCGCTCCTCCGCGACGGCTGGTCGATCGGAGCTGGGGCCGGGGGGGCGCATTCCCCCTCTCCTCCTTCCTCGTTGCCTCCTCTTCCCTCCTCTGCCCCTCTCCCGAATGCGCTGGGTAGGGGACCCGTCTTCGAGCCGTCGTCGCCCTCCTGGCCTCGGCTCGAGGTGTTGGTCTGGGACGCTTCGCCAGTCCGATGTCCAATGTTTTCGTTGCCCATTATTCCAGATTTCGTAATAAAAGGGAGGGGGTCTGGACCCTCCAAGACAAGCCATTTCAGACCTCCCCCGTGGGAGAACCCTCCAAAACATCGTCCCCAGACCCCCCAGGCCCTCCAAGATAGCCTGGAAGGGACCCCCCGCCGAAATGAGACCCCCCTCCCTTTGTTACGAAATCTGGAGTACACCTTTGAGCTGTTACTGCTGCGGTGCCCTGCCGTGCCCAGGCTCATGCCGGGAGTCATCTCACGCGTCTTCGGCAAGAGAGCCCATGGGAAGATGCCATTTATTCGTTGAGCAGGGTGTTTGCTGTCATCACACCTTCGAGCTGTTATTGTTGCGGTGCCTTGCCGTGCCCAGGCACCCGCCGGGAGTCATCTCACTCGTCTTCGGCAAGAGAGCCCATGGGAAGATGCCATTTAGTCGTTGCGCAGGGTGTTTGCTGCCCATCACGCCTTCGAGCTGTTACTGATGCGGTGCCCTGCCGTGCCCAGGCACCCGCCGGGAGTCATATCGCACGTCTTCGGCAAGCGAGTCCACGGGAGGGGGGTATGCGCGAAGTGTGTGGTTCGGCGGCTCGCTCAAGCGAGGGAATGTGCGAGTCTTCGCATGCTGTCGTCAGCACGGCTGTTTGTTTGCAGCGTGCAAATGTATGCAAGTGTATTTTTACTTTATGACGATCGCAGGCGTGGACACCTCGTCAATGCCATGTGTGAAAGAGAGGGAGAGCGAGAGGAGCGGAAGCAATGCATCGGTACTAAGCAGGCGGATTCCGTCGCTTTCGTTTGGAATTTTTGGGGGCACACCCTCTTCGTCGTCGACATGTTTGCAGATTCGCTTATGTTCTCCCGTCTTTCGTCAGCATGGCTGTTTGTTTGCACCGCGCAAATGTATGCAAGTGTAGCTGATGACGCATGCAGGCTTTCCTCAAGACTGTTTTATATACCGCACCCTCCCCGCCCCAGTCAGACTCCACCGCACGGGGCCACGTTCAGTGTACCAACAATACGCCTCAGGGGGGGGGGGGAAGTTTGTAAACCAGACCCACGACCCAGAGCTTTGGGTACAGCGTAGGAATTCCTCGGGCCGAGGCTTGGACACCTCGTCAAAGCCATCTGCGAGAGAGGGCGAGAGGAGCGGAAGCAGCGCATCGGTACTGAGCAGGATGAGTGCTCCGTCGTCTTAGTTTGGAATTTCGAGGGACATGCCCTCCCCAGACCCCCTCGCGTTGTGAAACAGTCGCGACGGGAGGTTTTTCTGTATTTTCGGCCTTTCCGGGCCCTGGGAGCGTCCAACAACGACTCAGGATGAGAACCGGTCCCGGGGAAGGGGTCCAGGCCGCTGGGGGTCGACGTTGTGAAAAAATCACGGCGTCGGGGGTCTGGGTCTTCGCCCATGCTCTCTTGTCGAGACTCCCATGGGTTACATCCTGCACTCTTCATGTCAGCACCTTTCGCTGAACTCCGATTGTTGCTTCTTTATCCCCTCCTGCACGAAATTCGCTCATTCAGTTGCCGTGCGAACGCATCACCAATTAAACGGAATGTGAAGGAAGAGGCAGTTGTCTGAACGCCCTGACGGTTGCTGGCGTTCCCAATTCTTCCTTCTTCTCCGTGGTGTTATGTTATTTCACCGTGCATAGTCATATTATTGTGATGTTTTTTTCTTGAGAAGTCACGCACAAGCCCGAGGTCCCTATATGGGCGGATGTGAGCTACTTGAGCATGGATGTGTTGTATTTGGTCAGTTTGATCGCCTATCCAGTTGTCTCGGTCTGCCTGGAGGGGATGGGATGGTGTCTGGGACGGTGGCGTTTCGAAGACGCCTACGGCGAATCACCGCCGCCCCCTGCCCTTGTGGAAGCGCCTATGTGGCCGACAGCTGGTCTAGAGCTTGGCCAAGCTATCGGGCCAGTTGTCCCCCGAGTTGGTTTGGAAAGCCTTCGGTGAACGCGAGGGGAAGCAAGAGGGTTGAAGTCGCCCATGTGTCCGAGAGTTGTGGCAAGAGCTATGCCAAGCTATCGGACCATGCGTTCCCCGAACCGGTGTGGAAAACCGTGGGGGAAAATTTAGGGGAGGATGGCGGGGAGTAGATCAGGAGGAGAAGGATGAGGAGGAGGAGGACAAGAAGGAGGAGGAGGAGAGGAGGAGGAGGAGGAGGAGGAGGAGGAGGAGGAGAAGGAGGAGCAGCAGGAGGAGGAGGAGGAGGAGAGGAGAAAGAGGAGAAAGAGGAGGAGGAGGAGGGAGGAGGAGGAGGAGAAGGAGGAGAGGAGGAGTCGGAGGAGGAGGAAGAGGAGGAGGAGGAGGAAGAGGAGGAGGACAGGGCATCTTGGGAGCCTCTGGGCGCCTTCGTGGGGCCTCCTGGGAGCTTCCTAGCCTCTTGGAAGCCTTTGGGGGCTTCTCGGGAGCCTCTTTGGCCGTCTCAGGGCATTCCTGGCCCGCCTGACGCCGTCGGAAGCCGTCTTGGGGACCTCTCTGGGCCGACTTGGAACCCTTATAGGGTGCTCCAGGGCCGTCTTGGAGGCCAGCTCGGGCGTCTTGTGGAGGCCTCGTGGGGCCGTCTTGGGGCCCTCTGGGGGCAGTTTTGGGGGGGCCTCTGGGGCCGTTCTGGGGCCGTCCTGCGCCTCCTGGGCGATGTTTCTGGGTTAAAAATCCACACAACACAACACACACACACACACGCACACACACACACACACACACACACACACACACACACACACACACACACACACACACACACACACACACGCACACAAAACACAAACAAAACACTGTGGGAAACAAAACACTGTGTGTGTGTTCCCCCCACACGCGTGTGTGCGTGTGTTTTCCCACGGGCCGTCTCGGGCCGTCGGAAGGCCTAAAAGAAGCCCATGCCAAATCCCCTCAAACATCTAAGCATCACCACTGATTTTGGCCTCTTCGGGCTGTCCTCGAGGCGCTCTTGGAGGCCTCTTGGGCCGTCTTGGAGATCATTTGAGGGCCCCTTGGGGTCCGTCGTGGGCCATCTTAAAGCCATCCTGGGCCGTCTTGGTGGGCTCCTGGCCCGTCTGACGCCATCGGAAGCCGTCTTGGGGGCTTCCCTGGGCCGACTTGAAACCCTCGTGGGGTGCTCCAGGGCCGTCTTGGAGGCCCTCTTGGGCGCCTTGAAGGCCTCTTGGGCGGTATGGGGGCCCTCTTGTGAGTGCCTGCCATCCTGGACGCCTTTTGGGCGATCTTTCTGGGCTCTTGGGCCGTCTCGGGCCGTCGGAAGGCCGAAAAGTCGGAAGGCCGAAAAGAAGCCAATGCCAACATCCTCCGAAAACCAAAGGGAAAGTCATGATTTTGTCCTCTTCGGGGCCTTCCTGGAGGCGCTCTTGGAGGTCTCTTGGGCCGTCTTGGGCCATTTTGAGGCTATCTTAAACCGTCTTGCGTGCATCTTGGGACGTCTTGGTGGCATCTTGAGGCAATATTTGCCCTCTTGGATGCCATCGTGGCCATCTGAGAGGCCATCTGGGGCCATCTTGGCGGTCTTGAACGCCATCTTAAGCCATCTTGAGAGAAATGTTCTGGGAATTGGGCGCCTTGCGGTCCTTTCCGGTTGGCCGCCGGGACAGGCCGAAGCCCCAGGGGAGAGTGTTTTCCCAACCCTCTTGCGTTGGGTTCTCGTTTTGAATAGAGCACTGCTCGCGCGTCTCTTTCCTTCCCTTCTTCCTTCCCTCCTTCCCCCCTGCCTTTTACCTCGCTCGTCGCTGCGTGCCAGCCTGCCTCCTACCTGGTCATCCCTGTGCCACTTTCGAGGGCTGCTGGGGGCTGCGATCTGAGAAACTGTCGCCACTTTCGAGGGCTGCTGAGGGGCACAGCACAGTGGGTTCCCACCGCAGACTCAAATTAGACCTCGCCATCCCTGGGGGGCTGCGATCTGTGAAACTGTCGCCACTTTCGAGGGCTGCTGGGGGGCACAGCACAGTGGGTACCCACCGCAGACTCAAATTAGACCTCGCCATCCCTGGGGGGCTGCGATCTGTGAAACTGTCGCCACTTTCGAGGGCTGCTGAGGGGCACAGCACAGTGGGTACCCACCGCAGACTCAAATTAGACCTCGCCATCCCTGGGGGGCTGCGATCTGTGAAACTGTCGCCACTTTCGAGGGCTGCTGGGGGGCCCAGCACAGTGGGTACCCCGCGGACTCAAATTAGACCTCGCCATCCCTGGGGGGCTGCGATCTGTGAAACTGTCGCCACTTTCGAGGCCTGCTGGGGGGCCCAGCACAGTGGACCCACCGCAGACTCAAATTAGACCTCGCCATCCCTGGGGGGCTGCGATCTGTGAAACTGTCGCCACTTTCGAGGCCTGCTGAGGGGCCCAGCACAGTGGGTACCCACCGCAGGCTCAAATTAGACCTCGCCATCCCTGGGGGGCTGCGATCTGTGAAACTGTCGCCACTTTCGAGGGCTGCTGAGGGGCACAGCACAGTGGGTACCCACCGCAGACTCAAATTAGACCTCGCCATCCCTGGGGGCTGCGATCTCGCCACTTTGGGTACCCACCGCGACTCACCTCGCCCTGGGGGGCTGCGATCTGTGAAACTGTCGCCACTTTCGAGGGCTGCTGAGGGGCACAGCACAGTGGGTACCCACCGCAGACTCAAATTAGACCTCGCCATCCCTGGGGGGCTGCGATCTGTGAAACTGTCGCCACTTTCGAGGCCTGCTGGGGGGCCCAGCACAGTGGGTACCGCAGACTCAAATTAGACCTCGCCATCCCTGGGGGGCTGCGATCTGTGAAACTGTCGCCACTTTCGAGGCTGCTGGGGGGCCCAGCACAGTGACCCACCGCAGACTCAAATTAGACCTCGCCATCCCTGGGGGGCTGCGATCTGTGAAACTGTCGCCACTTTCGAGGGCTGCTGAGGGGCCCAGCACAGTGGGTACCCACCGCAGACTCAAATTAGACCTCGCCATCCCTGGGGGGCTGCGATCTGTGAAACTGTCGCCACTTTCGAGGGCTGCTGAGGGGCACAGCACAGTGGGTACCCACCGCAGACTCAAATTAGACGCCGCTTTCGTCCTTGTTCTCCTCCTGCAGTCACCTTCCCTCTGCTGCTGCCGTGCTGATGGTTCGGCTTCCCGCACGTTTTTCTCCTGCTCTGCGTTCCCGACTCCCCATGTCCTCTTCGAGCCTGTAGCTGTCGCCCCTCGTTCTTGTATGGTTCTCCTGCGCATCATGCAGGCGCGTGTCCCAAGTAGTTTACACATCAAGGTGATTGTCCATGCAAGTTTTGGCCAACTCCTCGTTTCCATTGATACGAATGGGTTGGGTACGTCACAGGGTAATTTGGAAAAGAACCAAAACCAAGGCGTCTAGGATTCAGCACGCCGGGCACCCTTGTGGCAAGCTAACAGGGGGCGGCGGATCCTAGTGGCGTTCGGGTCATCCCGCCACCGTGCCTGGGTTATGGGTCTGAGGTCTTTTTCATATGTGTCGGGGTTTCATGGGAGCATCTCGGGGGCCTCTTAGAGGCGGTCTGGGCGCCTCTTGGGGGGCTCTTGGGGCCTCGTGGGGTATGTTTTTGGGCCTCTTGGAGGCCTCTTGGGCGCGTCTTGGGCGCCTCTTGGGGCCTCTTGGCGGCCTCTTGGGGCCTCCTGGGGGCTTCTCGGGGTACAAATGTAGAAGTGTCGGTTCGTGGTCCCCTGTTCGGGCCCCTTTTGGGGCCATTTTGGTTCCCTCTTGGGCCGTCTTGAGCGCTTATTGGGCAATCTTGGAGCTCTCTTGGGCCTTCCTGGGGCCCTCTTGAAGGCCTCTTGGGCTGTCTTGGGGCGGTCTTGGGAGCTTCTTGAGCCGTCTTGGAGCGTCGGCAAGCCAAACTTGCGAGAAGGCCACCATCCTTAAAGCCTTTTTGCAAAACCGACGAATCTCGCCTCTTGGGGCTCTCTCGCGAGGCCTCTTGGAGCCCTTTTGGAGGCCCTCTTGGGCCGTCTTGGAGCCATCTTCTGGCGCCTCGGAGCACCCTTGGCCTCGGCAGCGCAGACACGGCGTACTCTGCGGAGGTTGATGGCTTCGGGGACGCGATTACGGAGTAATTTGCGAGGGTGTGCTGTTTCGGGGGCGCGTCATATGCTAGGGCATACAGCCTCGGAAACGCGAACCTGGCGTAATTTACTTCTGGTCTCGGGGGCGCGAAACGCGCGTATTCTTATGTGTCTCACGCCCCCCTTGGGAATTCAGAGCACGCGATCCGAGTGTGGTAAATTGCTGATTTGGGGCTCCGCCCCCTCGCGCGGACTTCAACAATTTACAATATCGGGCCAGACGAAAGGGGGGGATTGGGAAAGGGGGGGTTACGAAATTTGCTGCATGCAGCTGGTCTTGGCCCCTCCGAGGGGCCCCTTCCTCGATACACGGCCGCCTCCGGCGCCGGGAGGCGCCGGGAAAATCAGCTACGCGAGCTGATTCTCAAACCCCCCCTTTGCTATCCCCCCCTTCGCCCGACCCGACAGTAGGAAGCAGAAAACAAAACTGTAATATTGGAGACTTGAAACTGCAACTGGCGCAGGGAGCAGCAACCTAGCCCTACAGCCTGGTGGCCCCACAAGGAGGCTGGCGGATAATGGGCTATGTTGTCGTTGCTGCAGCTCTTGCAGACGCGGTTGCTGTCGCTGAGTTGTGCACAGCGATGGTGGGTGGTGTGGGCCATATGCGTCTCTCATGTGTTTCCTAAGCGCGAATCAGGCCCACTTTGCAGCGGCTGCAGCCGAGAAGACGTGATCGATCAAACCTCCACAGAGGGTGGCTTGCAG